GACACAACGTATTCCCAACTATTCCTAAGGCAGACTGTGATTTCTAAGCGATACATAACAGAAGTGTTTAGATCGTGTCTCCGGAAAATATTAAAACGTCCAATTGAGTCTGTTTTATGTTTCCGCTTGTTTTTCTCGAATAAAATATCAATTATCCCTACATGTAATACCAATTACTGTGATAAAACTCCATACATTACAACAGACCTGCTATATACAAATAATGGAGAGACCAGTTATTGCGTGCAAAGTACTGATGGTTTCTGAACTGAAGCGACAAATATTGTAAAAAGATGATAAATGGGAAATAATATTTGGAAATTTATTAGATCATATATATCAATCAAAGTTAATTTGGCCAAAAGTAATAAAATGGTTGAATCGTAATTTTCCACATATGACTCTGTGTCAACCTTTGTAAGTGTTGAAGCAAAATTATATACGTCATTGATTCTTGCTAACTTAGCTCAGAGCATTTACAACTGTAGGGGAAGCAAGCACTCACATCTGCAAAATATTTTCTAAGTATGAATAATTTTAGTGTGAGTGAGCACTAACATTTCGAGGTATTGTCTCTTTTAGAGTAATACTAATCGTCGAAAACCGTGGTCATCTGGAAGCGTTTGGCTATACATGGGGAGCAGTTCGATACATGTTGGTGTAGTACTTTCTGCATGCTGTTTCTCATATATATTGCCAGATCTGATTAATTGTTTTGTTTCCCTGCGAAGAATATAGACAAGGCTAGACATAGCGGTCAAAATGCTCTTCTTCTGACTGTCCGTTGTCAACTCTCGGTTCATTCTTGTAACAGCATGTCTCGCGCATGGGTCAAAGAATCAACTTCACTGGCATGTACGGGATTTATGTAGGGAGAGTTGTCTGAAAATATTTTGGATCTGGAGTGTTACATTAAGGTAAAATATGTTCTTAGACCTTATGGAAGAAGATCACCATTGGACAGGGATTTTATCTTTGGATTATGATAAAGACGGAAAATGGTGAAGCCATGGCAGTAAATGTGTTATTTAGTAGCATGTGGACCTTAACCAGTAGTTCACCAAGAATGAAGAATAAATTGTAATCAGACTTTGCAATTATTTTCAGAGGACAATAGGTGTAATTACATCAACCCTAACATTAGTCAGGATTGCGAACAATTTTTCTCCCTGGAAATGATTTTTACGAATATTTCTTACCCTGACATCTACATCCTTATATATCTGCTTGTCGGCTAACCTCTGTGTATCTTTGGAAAGGTTTTTATCTCGTTTCCTCGTACGTTATTGCCAAATATAGTTATGAAAACATGTTAAAAAACGATCAAAACACAATTTTGCATGTCAAACAAAAAGTGTCTCCAGCCATTATGAAAATGATTGACATATTAAAAATCTATTGATGCACGTTGTTGCCTACCATTTGGAAAGACAAAACACTAGTAACACTACAAGCAAAAATATAACTAATGAAATTTAAATATAATAGAAATGTAAGCTGACTATAGGTTTTAATGACTGGTGATAATTCAAATGTATTTGAAACAGGACCAGCCTTAGGCCGATTGGATCGATTCACCGCGCTCACGGGCCTGTAAAAAATATATTTATAAATATAAATATATTTGAAAACGATGGAAGAAAAGTTTAATTTCAATATCATATAAAACTTAAAACTTGTTAAAAGTTTTATTTTCAAACGCCTTGCATCCAGGGGGCCCCGCCAAAATGATCCAAATCGGGCGTTTGCTAAGGCCGTTCCAACGCTTCAACAAGTCACTTGTCGTCTAAATAATCGTATAGCAATTGAAACTGAAGAAACATAAACATAAAACTAAAGGAACAAAATGCACAATGCATTTACAATAAATCGACAATCAGCATATCGCAGGCGACTGCTCTCATTTAACAGTGTCAACGACTAAGTTATCTAAGTTATAGCACAGAACAGTAATGCGCATGGCAATTTTAACCATCAGTCAGACTGGTTTACGATTGCTGCTTAAAATACTGATAGTTCATTCTATAAATAAACCAGACTGTGTGTGTGTGTGTGTGTGTGTGTGTGTGTGTGTAAATTTCTGAAATTTGTGAATTTTATTCTTGACATTTTGGAATTAAAGTGCTTTTAACAAGGAAAAGATATATAAGAGAATATTTTGCCCATTTAAGACACTTATGCAAAGAACGTTGTAATTTCGATGTTTGTACCTCTCGTGTCCATATCAAATGTACTGAAATATTATTTGCATTAAGAATTCTAAACTTACGTGAATACTTAAATTAATATCCAAATAAAAATATAAATATTTTCTAGAACAAATTGTTTAATTAAAACTGGGCTTTCTGATGAAAAACGTGTGAAAAAGTACTGGGTGACATTTCGCTTATGTGTCAAGTAAAATTGAATTTGGAGGTAAGACTTTTTAGTCAATCAATCAAAGTTGTTAAAATTTTGTTTCCCAAAGCTGTAGTAAAGTTTTAAATTATGCGATAAATATACCTTATATAAAAGTACAATGGCGATGTGATTCCAAGGTATGCGCCAGCCATTTCATGATGGCAGTGGTGCTGG